TAAAAACAAAGAGCTGGGGGATGTAACTCAGTGGTAGAGCACCCCTGGGTTCAATCCCCAGTAAGGTATGCAGGGAACAGGACATAGTAGTATATTCCTATAATCCCCAGCAATTTGGGAGGCTGAGGCAGGAGTATGGAAAGTTTGAGGCCAACCTCAGCAACTTAGTGAGACCCTGTCTCCAAGTAAAAAATGGAAAGGACTGGGGATATTGCTCAGTGGTAAAGCAATATCAGATTGAACCACTGGTTCAATCCCCACTACCAAAAAAATAAAAATAAAAATCAAATGCCTGTTTCCCCATTAACAGATGAAAGTAGAAGTCAATGCATTAGTTTACTCATTTAACAAACATTAATGACTACCTGCTAAACACAGAAAGAGCCAGGCATATTTTTATCACACTGCCTTTAGAGGACTTATTGTGTAAGAGGTCCTTGTGTCTATGGAGTACAAATAATTATGTTTTATTTTATCAATGACAGATCAAAAACTGCTTGTGTTACAAGTATAATCCTGAATTTTGTAGCATCATTACCAAACATCTGTTTCTAACTTTTATATGGACATGCTGCAGTAAAACATATCACAAAACTTTTGAAACTATAGGCAAATCATTATTAGAAATCATCATGACATGTTCCCTTTGATGTACTATGAAATATTTTGGAAGATGGAAATAAGAGATGAATTTTGCTTTCGACAAAGCAAAAAGACTTGAACAGGTAGAGCATATCTTTCCCCCCAAAGCTTCTTCACCTTAATTTGTAAACATTCAGAATTTGGCTACTAAAAGCAGTTTCCAACTCACTCATTGACTCTGATGGTTTTTTAATGTTCACAGAATCCTACACATAATAAACACTGGACAGTCTGGATGTCAAAAAAAAAAAAAAACCACACAGTTGGACATTTTAAAAGTCTTTGATGCATGTGTTTTATTAGAATATTTCAACAACAAAATATGTGATTTCCGCTTGTTCACAGTCACTCTAACTTATAGTTAAAACAGTCTAAGCAGCATCTACATCAGCTCACTTCAGGAGGCACTATACACCAAGTAGTACTTCGGCAAATTATAAAACACAAGAGCACTTCTATAGAGAATTAATTTGGGACAACAGGCTGCAAGATTCTGCACTGGAATCCAATGGAGATGAGTCATTCTGACAGGTGGAATACCTCCATACTCGCCCAGCCCAGAACACAGAGCACCACCACCAATGCACCATTTCAACCATCTAATAATCAATGGGAGCTGCCAGAGAGTCAATTGGTCTCATCCCAGATGCCAAAAGCAAAAGTCAAGCCATCACCATTTGGTACAGTCACCTTGTAAAGACATGAGTTTTAATTTCTGCTTAAGTTATCCATATAAGGGTCTCTGAGAAATACAATCAATTGTAACCCAACCCAAACTCATGTGGCTTTTTACAGCCACAGGTATGTGAGACCCCTTGAGAAGCTAAAGGAAAATACAACACCTGTCTCTGCTTAACAGTTTAATGCTACACTTCAACTCCCTCAACCCCCACCTTAAAGCATTTTCTTACTGTCCTGTTACCATGACATTAAATCTATTCCCATTCTTAGAAACTAAATGTTTTGTCCAGTTTTTGAGAGTTAGCATAGACCTACCCAATTTTCTAGTAACATTCTAAAAAAAATTACATTTCATTTTATAAAATAATTTCTATATTTTAAAGTGTATGCTACTAATTCTTCAAAGTGATCTTTTTAATGTTGGAACTCGGGGAAAATTCACTTCATAAAGTACAAAGAATCAAAACTGATCCCTCCCAAATGGCTGTTTTTTTCCAGAAAAGTAGAAAAGACTTTGAAGCACTTAAGAAACACTAAGATCTCTATCAAATGAACAATTGATAGAGAGCAGGAGGTTTGGGGTTTTTGTATTTTGGTGGTATTAAGGATTGAACACAGGGCCTCATGCATGCTATGCAAGTACTCTACCTCTGAGCCACCTCACCGGTCCTTCTTATTTTGAGACAGAGTCTTACTAAGTTGCCCAGGCTGGCCTTCAACTTGTGAACCTCCTGCTTCAGCCTCTGAAGTCACTGGGATTACAGTCCTGCATCAATACAGGCCTGATTGTATTTATTACTGAATATATAAACACTGGAGAACTTACACTCGTAAAAGGTCACAATGATTTTAAGAATATTTCACCTTATTTGGCAAGTAGTTGGACAATGTAGAAAGATGATTTATATCCTACTCATAAATGAAAGGCAAACATAAAAATAATTGATGTTATATAATTTACACCATGTCTATACCTATATGGCAAATTCAGTTATAACTAAAAAACTATATTAGAAGTGTCTCTTTTTTTTTCCTTCTATTTGCATAATTTCCATTAGCAGACTTAGAGGCCTAATACATTTATGCTTATCTTTTATGGATTATGATAATCAACATATTACATTATACTCTTAAGCATATGTTTTATGCTTATTCAAGGTTGACTTAGGGTTTTGAAACTTTTCCAGGTGAAACAGAGTCAAGTGTACCCAATACCACCTTGCTACAAATTCTTCTTGGTTAAACGTAGCAACTCACCTCACTCCATTAATGACACTTAGAACTTTGAACTTGAAAATACCACTGAGTAAAAGAGAGAAATAGTCATGTGAATAATTGAAAACAAAAATGAAATGTGCATCTTTAGAATGTCATTGTTGTGCTTCAGAGTTCCACTTTGCCTGTGAGTTTGGAAATTCTCCATGCTCCTAAATGTAGCTTCCAAATTTCTGTTCCATGGTCTGAATCAGAAAGAGAAAGAAATTTCCCACCTTTTAGAGTCTCTTTGGTGTCCCACCTTTCAGACTACAAGCAGCAGACTATATTCTTTCCTGTAATATTTTTCCTCTTTTCACCTTATTACCTTAAAAAAAAATACCTGAAATATTTATTTAGCATTTTTTTCCCAAAAGGACAATTCCTAATTATATCAGGCAGGAAAACAAGATTTATTTTCTTCCATTTCCCCAAAGTTGAGAAGATGTAAGTATTTATATTGAATCCTCTTCCTTCTAAATAATCCATTAAACAAAGCTGAAAGAAAGAAAAAAAATCAACCTTGAAAACTAAAAGTTGAAGATACACACTACATTGAATTTTTTTCATATCTTTTTTTAAAATTTCTACCACAAAATTCCATGTCATTCTTAATTCTCAGTATTTTTCTCACATCCTTTATTTTTAGATTCAAATTACCACATAACAATGTAGCTTCAACATGCTGGCTCTGCTCCTGGTTCTCCAGATAAATTACCCAAAATAAAGTGCCTCCTACAGTCATTCTTAATCTGTGTGCTCACCACTGATTCTCCACTATCGAAGAGCTATGCTCAGTTTTCCCATCATCCTTAGGGGTAAATGTATGGATAATTTAAACCTAACTGTTGAAGGAGCTATGAAAGATTGTTCCCTTTCATTTCATATTACTTCAAAATATACATATATACACACAACACACATATAACCAATTCACAAAGTCTGCAAACACACACTGCAGATGTTATTCCAAGTACACAGGGAGATTCACAGCTTAACAGCAAACTCACATGCAGATATAAAGCATAGTGTTACATTCTGAATCACATAGCAAGATGAAATACAGAATGCTTTAATATATGTCTGTTTTAGATTTATTATTTCTCTTAAGTCTTAGAAATGAGGAAAACAGAAACATAAACCTCAAGCTATGTGTGTAATAGTAATATCAGTCAATGTGGTATTATTTTTACTAACAAAATATCCAACTTGTTGACTCTATAAAAAAAGATACATACTATATTCAAAACAAAAACCATAAAGTTAGAGATAACCAATGGAAACTTCATAAAAAATATTCGATACTGTCAGTTTGTCAGTATTTAACTTTGTGTTGTTTTGACCAAAATATCCTAAGCCTGTGCATTCTTTTCTGATATTAAATAATAGTCACATCTGAGTGCTCTTTTTTTTTTTTTTTCCTTTTTTCTTTTAGGGGGGGTACCAGGGATTGAACCCAGGGTCTCTCAAAAGCACATGCAATATTACTGAGCTACCCACCAAAACCCAGGAATACTCACATCTATATAACATTAATAACTACATAAAAATAGGAATGAATGGGGAGAGAGCTGTTGATAGTTGAAAGATAGAAGTATATGTTTATAAATATGTATACAATTTAGTAATTATAATGCACCAATAAAAAATATGAGAAAAATGTATTAGAATTTAGTGAGGTCACCTAAATGGATTTCTTTTGCATGGTTAAATCTACATACCAGTGGTCCAGAATAAAAAATGTGGTAACAAAGAACCCAGTTTTTACCTGTGCTCTTTGATATTATTATTAAAAATAAACACTGGTAAGTGAGCCATAGTGGTATGCCCTTGTAGTGGTGTGCCCCTAAAGTCCCAGATACACAGGAAATTGAGGCAGGACGAATACTTGAGCCCAGAAGTTCAGGGCCAGCTTGGGCAACACAGAAAGAGCCCATCTCTATTTAAAAAAAAAGAAAGAAAAGAAAGAAAAAAAGTTGCAGAACACCTTGAAGAGCTGTGAAAATATAGAAAAACTTTAAGAACCTGTTCAAATGAATAAAGAACAAAAAAAGATGAAAAGAAACCATAGCTGCCTAAGAGGTAAAAATTAGAAATTTATGTGCAAAGTCCTGGGTTTGATCCCCAGTACCACAAACGCACAAACACAGAGAAATGTTCCACTCATCAAGCCTAGCACGGTGGCCCATACCTGTCATTCCAACATCTTGGGAGGCTCTCAGCAATTTAGTGAGACCCCTAGCAACTTAGCAAGACCCTGTCTTAAAAGAAAAAATTAAAAGGGCTGGGGATGTAGCTCAGTGGTAAAGCACCCTAGGGTTCAATCCCCAGAACCAAAACCAAAACAAAAAAACCTATAACACTTATCAAGTACACCAAAACCACTTCTCATTTGCCCACTCAACTTAGAGACTCACACTAGCTTAATTACACATATTTTTATACTGAGCATGAACAGGTGAACATAAATGTGATGGGTATTTATGAAAACACCTATATATAAATGGTTATTAAGTTTACTCAGACTTGTGTATTGATCTAGCGACTCACTGCTGTAGGTAATATTTTTTTATCTTATCAGTTTCTTCACACGCTCAGCAAAACAATATTGCACAGAAACTCAAAGTCCAAGGAAGCAATCAGGCCCAACGTCCACTGGAGGCGAAGCTTCTGCTGAATGAGAAGTTGATTTCAGAGTTCTTGTATTTTCCCCAGGCACCGAAAGGCACTACTACTGCTGTACTGTTATCTTCAGTACCATACTGTATGGCCTACAAAGTTTGCCAAGAAAGAAGAGAAAACATGAGAATTCAGAGTTTGTACAAAGAAAAAAAAAAAAAAAAAAGTCCTTCTCTTAGAAAGCCAAACTGCTTTTAGGTACAGTTACTAAGTGCAAATATTTCACAATGGTTTATGATACTTTTACCCTGTGTCAATGCTCCACAAGGTTATTAAATTGCACATGGAATAACAGATGACCCCAAACATTCTCATTTACTATGTTACATGTCTTAATTACAAATATTATCACTTAAAAGTTTAAGACAAATTTGGCCCCTCAATTCAAAATATAAATATTGGAAATGCAAAAAACAGCTGTTGAATTAAAGCATGATCAGTGATGGTTCTAACTTAGAATTGCTATCACCACTATCCATCAGAACAGAATATTAAACAGCACAATGCAATGTTTCATGTTCTTTACTGGATATTACTCAGTGATTGTGTGTTAGCTCTGATTGACACACAATCCTGTCCATTCACCTTTTAGTAATTTGGTCTTTTTCACACATGTTCTGACACGTGGACTCTGTACCTCAGTTTTTCTCATCTGTAAAAAGTTTCAACTTCAAAGGCATCATGATGATTGCATGAGTTAACATATGTGAACAGAATAGTGTCTGAGAGTGATATATTGGTTGGCTATTATTGCTGCTACTAACATTTCAAGGTATATACAAGGTCAAAACACAAAGCAAACACTTTTCATTGGAATATTAATTTTTCTTAATTACTTGGGCAAATGGTAAAAACTTGCTCATTGGAAATAATATGGAATCAAATGTAAAACTCACTGTGATATCTAAGCTAAAATTCAAGATTTCAAAGAAATCTCAAGTGGTTATCACAGTGAAAAGCACTATGGGCTGCACAGATACCACTTGCCTGGGATTGTCTTTTACCCTCCTCCCCCCATGTAAGATCCTTAGAAGAAACTCTGCCAATGTCACCTGTTCAGTCACTGCATGGGCAGCTTCATTAGGATCGTGACACTGATTGACAAAGTCACAAATCTCTTGACTATTCACCATGAAGTTAATTCCATCTGTGGTGAGGACCAGGAAGCTGTCATCAGCATGCTGGAGCTACAATCAGAATCAAATGCAGATCAATATAAACTAGACTCTACCTCAGAATGGTCTTGGTATTTTGAAGATTTTATCTGTTTTGCTTAATGTCATCTGTGTAAGGGTTTATAGGCAAACAGTGAAAATGCAAGAAGTATCAACCACCACCAAGGATAAACCAAACATTGGCTTAATAATACCCCCCCCAAAAAAGACAGCCAATTGCTAAGATAAACCTGAGTTTGATCCTGCCTCTCTTATGCAACTGGGTCAGGACTTTTTAGCATTTAAAATTGTGGGCCTCTGTATATGCTTTAGACTTCTATACGCCTTAGATTTGTTTCCTTGTGAAATGAGGATAGTATTACCTTTTTGGAACAGACCTTAGCACATAGTAAAACCTACAAAAGTACTTGTTACATAAAATGAGTACAAATGGCATGTTAAGACATGAAAGAAACCCTTCATACAAATAATAAACATTTGCTGCCTCTATTGGAAGCTTGTAGCATACTATGCTAGGCACTGTAGTTGGCTCAAGGGTTTCAGAGAAAGAAGTTTCAAATCCCAGACTCGGTGTATACTGGGGCAGTTTAGGGCAACAGATGCACTAATGCCACAAAAATAGAGGTGAGTGATAACTGAGCATGGTAGAGAAGAGAAGCCAAGGACAGCTTCCAAGCTGAGATGACCCAAAGGATCGGGTGCCAGGGTGGGTAAAAGAGCCATTCTACGAGAATTCCACAGCAGGGTGAAACACAGACCAGAAACTTTGTCATATATCAGGCCAGGAAAGTAGTATCTCATTTTACCTGAAAAGTTCATCTTTCCATAAAATACCCCCCTTTAAAACCATCTGGCCTCAGTTAAATCTTCTAAGAAAGCCTATAGCTGGAAACAATCCTGCATTCGTGCATTGTATATCTATCAAGTGCTTGCAACTCCTCTCTTACCTTAATTCTCTTTGTTTCAGGTTCTGCTATCACACCACTGGCTTTAAGATCCAAATCACCAATACTCCTTGTCATTGCAAGTCTGCCATTTACGTGAGGCTGTCCCACACTATTCCAAGCAACAAAACCACCACATTTCTTGATCCTGGTCAAGAAAACATTAAAAAACTGAAGACATATATACAGAAAAATTTTATATAATACAAAGGGCAAAAGAGCTATTCTACCAGAATCCCATAGCTGGAATTAATATACAAAATATATATACACACAGAGTCAATATTAAATGTAAGCACGACATCAGTCAAAAATGCAAAATCTAAGCCAGGGGCAGTGTAACTCAGTGGTAGAGTGCTTACCTAGCATCAACAAGGCCCTGGGTTTAATCCCAGCCCAGTAAAAATAAAAAAGAAAGCAAGATTGTTCATTTCTATCTCGAACTATAAGCATTATCCACATTAGAATGACTGATCCATGATGTCAGTACCTTTCTTTTTCATCTTTTCTTTCTGGAGTATGGTCAATGGTCAGCTTCATGGGTTTCCCTTTTCTACACAAGATAGCCCGGCTGTCCCCAACACTGGCTACAACCAGTTCAATACCATCTCGCAACAGGGCTACTGTGGCAGTAGTCCCAGAGGTCAGAAGGGTTGCTATAATATTATAAAAAAGAGAAGGAGTTAGCGGTAGTCAGATGACTGGATACAGAATTTTAAATTACAAAATAAAACACAAGCATGATATACTAGTGCTAGGGTGGATCATTCTAATTTAACTACAGCTATGCAAATAAAATGCAAATAAACTATGTAAGTAACAGCATGCAGAGAAACAAGGACTTAATTCAGTAACAAGGCTCCATGCAAACAGAAAAGGTAGGTAATCTAATTAGGTAAACAATGCATCACTGTCTCCAAATAGCTCCTGTTCATATAAAGTAGAACTGATGTGAATTTAATGTGTGTATTAAATGTGTCAAGACCAAAAGTATTAAAATGTAATTAAAACTGGATACTACAATAGGATGACTTTTTCTACAATCATCTCTTTTAGGTTTTTCTCCTCCATTTCTTCTATTCTGTCAAAGTTCTATCAGCTAATGGACTTAATGAGACATGTCAAGGACATATCATCATTTGCTCTTCAAGTACCAGATTTTATATTTCAAAAAAAATCATTGAAGACTCACATTCTTTTCTGTTCATCTTTGCTCTCCTTAGATGAGAAACAAAGTTATAGCCATCATTATACTAAACAAAGATTCAGGGACAGGAAATGAAATTCATTGTAGTTTCTCCCATAAACTTGTAATAAGCACAGTTTGCTCCACAGGGATCTAATACACAGTCTGTGGGCAAACACAAGGGAGTACAATACAGTCAACTGCTACTCCTGGGGTCCTTCCTGGGCCAGAGCATTCCAAGAATATTAATTTTCTTTTACTGAGATCAAAGAAAATTCAATCTCACAGGTCTAAGTTGCCATTATTTCCTATTGCAGTTCAAGTCCAACTGCATTTTATAATTTCCCTTTGATTTATTCTAACAGTGTCTGTCCTAAGTTTTACCATTTCTTAAAAGAATTTAAGGTGCATTGAGCCTTGCCAAAAGTGAGAATACAGAGAAACTATGAACTAAAAAATAAAGCAAAGTGGAAGAAATTGAAAGAGATAACTTATTTAAAGCAGGTATTATCTCTGGTAACATTGTTAATTCTTTTTTGGGGGGCAAAGGAGTAGATACCAGGGATTGAACTCAGGGGCACTAGACCACTGAGTCACATCCCCAGCCCTATCTTGTATTTTATTTAGAGACAGGGTCTCACTGAGTTGCTTAGTGCCTCGTTTTTGCTGAGGATGGCTTTGAACTAGCGATCCTCCTGCCTCAGCCTCCCGAGCCACTGGGATTATAGACATGTGCCACCGTACCAGGCCAACATTGTTAATTCTTTAAAGCATCTAAAAAAAAAATATTCAAATGATCATCCAAAACTGATTTTGATTTATTTAATTATTTCATTTTATTTATTTATCTAGGTATTGGAAATTGAACCCAGTGGTACTTAGCCACTGAGTCACATCCCCAGCCCTTTTTATTTTTTATTATTATGAGATAGGGTCTCACTAAGTTGCATAGGGCCCTGCTAAATTGCTGAGGCTGACTTCAACCTTGCAATACTCCTGCCTCAGCCTCCCAAGTGGCTGGGATTATAGTATGCACCACCATGCCCAGTTAATTTTGATTTTAAAATAAAGTACGTATTGATTTGACTGATTGAAAGTCAATCTTTGTAAAAATTTCTTTTCAAAAAGGAAATTTTAAAAACTTTATCAGTATTGCATTTTGAAAGGAAATGTATGCATAAGTAGATTTCCCAACCAGTATATTAAAATGCCTGCTTTAATCAGAAAAGCAAAATGGAAAAACATAATAAACTCTACTTAATTTTTTATAGTCATGCTGAATTTACTGTATTGAGAAATAGCATTTACAGTTGCACTATCTTCCCAGTCATCTCTTGATTTTGGAACTATTGTGTCAAAGTAATATTATTATGCAATGCTACAATATGTATTTGTCATTGCACGGCATAAGTGTTTTAATATAAGCATCAGTGATGTTTACCTTACAAATAAAGATTAGCCTTGAGATAACTTTTAAGTTGAGATTAGCCAAACCACTATAAGACAATGGAATCTTTTATACAAAAATGAAATCTTTACAATTTAGCCAACTGTATTTTTTTTCAAATTATTTAAAAGAGCCAGGCAAGAAAATACAGGCATGTACTCAAATGCTACCTGTCCAGGGAATTTTGTATTCCTCCCCTTTGTCTAAACCTTCAGCAACAGCTTTTTAAAAAGTGGTCCTTAATTGGTCATGAGGACAGTTGAAATTTCATAAATGAAAGTTCAGTTGCTTAGGCTTGTCATTCATGACTCTGCCACCTAGACTTTAATAAAAGAGCTTGAGTTTTTATCAACTCACATTCACAGTTCCAAAATCCCAGGATTTATGGGTAAAGTTTCAAAACTAACTGTTATTCTGGTATGCTAAGCATCTAAGAATATAAATAGTAAATCAGCATTTATTTTCATTTAACATTTAACAGGGAAGCAAAAGTTCTCACTTTTTGCCCTAACAACAAGACTATAAAACTAAGACATCTTTCAATAAGTTCTTAACACTCACTGGACAATTTCTACTGCAAGTCATCTCAACTAATGGGACAAAAGGATGTGGGAACCTTCCAGTAGTCCAGGCTAGGAACCGCTGGACTCCTTCACCTGAGACAAAATTAAGCAGATCTCTCTTTCCATGAAGCCCAGCATATAGTGTCCACGGGCTCCAGGTCTAGAGCTGCTGACCGGGCACAGTTCTCTGCCACAAATAACACGCACAGAGGCAAGTAGGAAATTCACCCAGGAATTGTGCTCAAACATTACAGACCTGCGACACAGGGGAGGGCAGAGAAAGAGCTGCAAAATAAGGGGAAGGGTTTTTATTTTGGTGAAAATTTCACTAGCAAATTACATAATATTCCAGGAGATGCCAAGTCAATGATTCCAAAACTCAGTTTGCTCAGTTTGGTGGTATTTTGTAGTTGAGTCTATTTTTGTTCATCACAGATTAACGCTTCTTAGATTTGCAATTTCCAAGATAGGAAAAAACCTATATATGAATGCATCTGTACCAGAACACACCAGTGATGACACAAACATATATCCACATGCTCAAACTCATACACACAAACGCATACACACGACACACTTAACTACTTGGTCTTCAACAAAGTAAATCAGTACTTCCACTGAGTTAGAAAAAAAAAATGCACTGTAAATTTGTTTAGTAGAAATATCAGAATTGTCCCAATAACAAAAAGGTAAATTTATCGTTCCAACACTGAATAATTTGTATATGACAAGCAGTCATGGTTAAAGAATGTGAACTACAGTATACCACCAAATTACTGGAACTTAAATATATACCAAGAAGGAATTAAAGCACCTCCTATGCCACATATAGGATTTCACACATTTGTTAAGGGTACAGGGATTGGGTATCTAAAAGCAATGTTTTTAGCAGAATAATTAATTTTAATTTCTTATTTAAATAAAAGCTAGTAAGGCCCTTGAGCTTATGTGAAGCCCTGGGTTCCATCTCCAGAACCACAAAAAAAAAAAAAAAAAGAAAGAAGAAAAAAAAAAACTGAATCAACTCCAGTCCCTGACACTTTTATAACACGTTTATAATTTCACATAAATCGGATATTTCTGCAGCTCTCTCTTTTCCCCAGTGTTGCAGGTCAACACAACAGAAGAAAAATGATCACAATTTTGAATAGCAACATAAAAAGTAAAAGCTGTATTTTTCAAAGTACAATATTTCCCAGTAATTATTCAACTATGAAAATAATAACATATAAATTAATACTTATTAAAAATGGGTGTCTAGACACAAATGACTCATGAACACCAAAATCAAAGTAATGAGCAGAAGCAGTAACAGCAAAATAAGAACATCTCTTCAATGCTGTCCCTATTTTTTTTTCTATTCAGTGACTCCCACCATAAGAAGGGTATTCAAAAATGTTGGGGGTGCAGGTCAGTGGTAGAGTGCTAACATGACCAAGGCGCTGGATTCACTCCCCAGCATCTCAAAAAAAAAAAATGAGTTGCATTTTATTGCCTTGGTTATTTTTGCTTAATTCTTCCATAAAGTCATGATATGAAGAGCAAAGATGTTTCCCATGAAACTCACAGTGCTGTCATCAATGTCTCCCACTCTGAGTGTCAGAGCAAGTCTTCTGTTTTTGATCCATTTGTCCCTTGGGGAGCTTTACTGCTTTCAAAGTTTAAGCAATCTAGAAACACTCTGAAGAGTTCATAGGACATAGAGGATTATAATTTAAGTTCTCTCCCACCTGGTTTAAGTGACTATCTCTAAACAATAGAGTACAGGATAGCATTTGAATTTACAGGCTGGTTTCACTATGTGTAAAAACACACATTACTGGTATGAATTGAGTACAAAAAGAATTCCAAGTTGGTGATAAAAAGGGTTGAGGATATAGCTCAGTGGTACAACATTTGTCTAGCTTATGTGAAGCCCTGGGTTCCATCTCCAGAACCACAAAAAGAAAGGAAAAAAAAAAAAAAAAAAACTGAATCAACTCCAGTCCCTGACCTTACAGGAAAGGTTAAAAGGAGTGAAAATGGTGCTGATGCAAAAAAAAGAGAAACCATAGAATGACAGAATTTTCCTTAGTTGGTGCCAGTTCTGCTTACGCAGACCTAAAAGAATATTATCTACTCTTATAATACTGATACTGCTTCAGTTCTTATTAGAAATTTTAATTTTTTTGAACCTAAATGACCATGAAATCTGAAATGACATAGGCTTATTTTTTTCTCAACCCACAAATTGTAAAGTTAATAGACAGCATTCTAACTTTAGTGGCTTTAATATATTTGATAAAATAGGCTCCCGAAACCAAAAGGCAATTTTTGTCATCTCTGAGGATTTGGCAACTTATTAAGAATAAATTTTTAAAATGTTCTCAAAATACTGTTTTTTTCAAAACCACAGGTTAATAAACCTCTAAGAATAAAAACACAATAATATTTAATGACAATGTTATCATAGCCTTTTTAAAAAATAATGCACTAAGCATCCTTCTATCTTGCTCCATTAAATTTTCAAACAAAATGACCATTAAATGAAATGTAAATTTTAAGACATCTATATTAAAGTTCTGGGATCATATACTTTAAAGTACATAACTAAATTAAACAATATATTCCAATTTCATTGTTAGGAGTAAATTATATTTTATTATTAATTTCTTTATACAACTATTTGAAAGTTTCTAAGATATTCAAGTTTTAAATAAATGCTCCAAATTCAAAATGACTTGATTATAATTTATTGTTAATAAATTAAAGGAGTCCTCACAAACTTTATACCAAGTCTAATATTGATGGTTTTCTGCATCTACATTGATCAGATCCTTTTCAAAACAGCTGACTGCACCCGTGAAGGGTTAACAACACATTTGGTGGTTGGCCTTGTGACCCATTCTCTTCTGCAAACCTTGCCCAGTAGTCTGCAGCTGTTTGCAGAACAGCTGGGGCACATCACAGGTACTACTTCTTGGTGTGTGACAACCAAACTCACAGCCAACCTGGTAATGGATGAAATAAAAGCATACCAAAATTCAGAGTTATACATATGAAACTACAAGAATTTTTTTCTTCTCTTCTTCATGGGTTTCACCCATCAGGAACAAGAGCTAAATCTAATGCATAAAATTCCCCCTCTCTTAAAATCCATCTTCTTAAAGGTAAGGTGGAATACAAGAGAGGAGAAAATGGGCCTGAATAATCTACACACTAAAAAAATTAATCTCTGAACAAAGGGGGATGGGGTTGTGATGGGAAGTTTCTCAAAAAAGAGCAGGGAAGGGCTGGGGGTGTAGCTCCATGGTAGAGCACTTGCTTAACATGCTCAGGCCCTGGGCTTGACAGTGCAGGTTGGGGGTGGAGAGCAGGATGATCTCAAGATGGGGAACAATCCCAGAGTCACCTTCTCCCCTCCTCATCAATAAATATGCACATGAGAGAGGCCTGGCTGGGTGCCAGGAAAGTCCCAGCTAATCTGAAATGACATCTGTCTTTCAGTTTCAGTTCCATATCTATGAAATGGGGAAAATTTTCCATTCCTTGCACTCCAACTGAGAATGACATTTCTCTGGTGCAATTTTTAAAGAAAAAGATGAAACCAAAAAAGATTAATAACATCACTGCACCATTCATTTTCACTCTGGGGACATGGCTCAGTGTTTGAGCACTTGCCTAGCATGCTCATGGTACTGGGTTCAATCTCCAGCACCACAAAAAGAAAAAAAATAATAAAAATTCACTTTCAAATCAGTTATGAGGCATATATTCCATGACTGCAGCAGAAGTATTCAAGGTTAAGTTCAGGGACAAAGGATTCTGGCTAGCTGACTAGAAAACATTGGCTACATTTTCCTGAAATGGTTTTGATAAATTTAGTCAAAACCAGAAACATTTTACTTTCAAAATTTAAGGACACAGAGTACACAAACTTTTAAATTCAGTTGGCATGCCCTTATGTTTAACAAAAACAAAAATACCACTAGCTACCACAGGACAGCTGCAAGATGGAGCTTTTTTAAGAAGTGGAGAAAAATATCTTCCTTCTGATTATACAAATTAATGCATATTAGTCATTTCCTTTCTTATTTAGCATCTATTAGCTATTTTCTTCTTGTCTAAACAATTACCATCCAAGCCAGATATGATTACCCAATAGACGTGCTCATTAGAACCATTCAAAAAAGAAAAACATTCTCTCACAGTATGGATATCTTTTCCACAAAACAAGAAATCAAACAAATTAACTATTTTTAAATCTTAAAAATTAAAATCCAATAACTAAACCATTTTGGAACTTCCCTTTCAAGTAAAAGGGAGGTACTGACATTAGTTCAGATTCTAAAGAGCATTAAAAGTGAATCTTTATATACAATCATTTCTAAATAAACTTTCTTACAAATAAGTATTCCTTAAAATTCCTACTCCCAAAGAGCTAAACTGTTGCCTTTTTACCAGCCTCTCCCAAGACATTGAGGAATGTGATTGTTTTACATACCATCAGCAGACAGATGGGCATGGCTTGCAAAGGCTTTATCTATTTCTAGAAAAGACAAGGTCAACACAGTTTCCAAGTTCTTCTCCTTAGGGAGAAAATCCCTTTGAGGAAGGGAAAGAGAACACAGAACAATCATTTCACAATAGGTTTTCCTTCTTACGGTCACCTTTCCAAGCAGACATTCCTCACAACAGATCTCATGACTTTCAGATGCTTACAACCCACCGGAGCGGCAATGTTCAGTGACCATCACTGACCAGTACTTAAGGTACTGTGATAAGCTGTTTTGGTTTTTTTTTTTTTTGTTCTGAGAATAGTACTCAGGCCTTCCAAGCATGTGACAAGCTTTTAAGGACATGGTAAAGTGCTTGCCTAGAATGCATGAGGCCCTGGCTTTGATGCCTAGCACCAAATAAATAAATGAGGCCCAAGTCCTTGTTCTTATAGAATTAATACTCACTCCCACAATCCTTAGAGGTCAAGAGTGCCACCATGGGCCAGGAATGGTGCCAGCACTCAGGAAATTGAGAAGGGAGAATCCCTTGAGTCCAGGAGCTGGAGACCAGCATGGGCAATGGAGACCCCATCTCAAAAAAGAATTTCTTCATATAAACTTAAACCACTGAATTCTTTTGTGGAATGAGGTGAATTTTGCATAAGCCCACTAATGAACAGTATAACTAACCATATACAGGAAGATAAAAAATAGCACATGGTCATAACTCTGCCACATATATCCCCCTTTTAATTCTAGCAATAGCATGATCCTCAAAAATATAATAATTCGGGTAAATGAAATAGTTAAAGGAATTCAACATAACCACATTAAATGCATTTTCCACACACTAAGACCAATCATCCAAGGTCGAGTATTCAAAGCTATTACTATCACTTAAAATTAAAATTGTCAATTAATTGTCAATTAAAATTATTAATCACTTACTATGTGCCATGCACTGATGGGAGTACATGCTTCTCATAGGTTATCTCATGTACTATCTACTAATTCACTTGAAATGATCATAAATCAAGTGCTGTCGAGTTTTCTGATCAACGTTTTCCCCAAGGAGTTACTAATATCATCAGTAATAGTGGCATGCTTAAATTACTGCTCATTCAAGAAGTGGCAGTGTGAAACCATGCAAGTAACTTGGTTTAACTAAACTCATCAGATAAGGGGTGAACGTTTAAGCTTGGTGAAGCTTGGGGGAACTGCAAAGTCAAGAGTGAAAGCCATTGTACATACACAATACATTTCTCCATGTGGGTGTGACAGAAATCAGCCGCTGCAGGTCCCCCATGTCCATCATACACTGCAAAGTACAGGATCTCCTCTGTTAGCTGAGCAAAGTCAAACCGATCTTCATTCTCTTTCCGTTTGCCAATATGGGAAGAGCTGCCCACATTTTCCAAGCTGATTTTGGGAATTGGCTTGCCATACTTAATACTGGGTGGCAGCAGAATTGGCTCATCAATACGGTTATCCCAGATTCCAAAACTGTCCCAGGTGGCTGGCCGTCCACTACCATCAGGGTCAAACCGAGAACACCTAGGCTCTGAAGTGGAGCTGTGGCAGGGGGGTGACACACGCCTGTCCTCCTGCAACAGGCGGGAGCTCAGCAGCACTCTTCTTCTCACCTGGTTCCCACCACTTCTAACCAAAGTAATTAAGGCCGCTGTTGACATAACTCAACTCCACAGGCCTCAATGGCAGCAAAGGTCAATGGAACAATGGAATCTCTTCAAGAACAGGCAACTGGAAAATGAAAGACTTTGTCAGCAATTTTGAATATAAATTATCTATATTATAGGACATTATCAAACATGAAGGCCATAAAAGATCTGCCCGAAGTAGATATCATATTTATGTTATATATTGGGTAAACACCCAATAGCCTACTTCCAAGAATAATCAATAGGTTTGAGCTATGGTGACTCATGCTTGTAATCTCAGCTACTCTGTAAACTGAGGCATGATTTCAAGGCCAGCCTCAGCAACTTAGCAAGATCCCGTTTCAAAATAAAAAAATTAAAACAGCTGGGGATGTAGCTCACTGGTAAAGCACCCTTGTACCAACCCCAGTACCAAAAAAATAAATAAATAAAATAAAGAATCAATTTATCTACTCCATTTAGTATTCAAATTCTATAAAAATTTGAGTGTTCATATATATAGAATGTGTGCCTCTCAACACTTTCACCTACAGTCACTCCAGGATCTCATCAAAACACAGATTTTGTTTCATTTGGTATGGGTAGGCTCTGAGATTCTGCATTTCTAACCAGCTCCCTGTTGATACTGAAGGCAGCAGGCTACACCTGGAGTAGCAAGAATATAGAACTCAGCTATAAATAAACGTTCTTCCCTTCAAATTAACTCCATTGCTCTGAAGAAAAGGTAAGGGCAAATGTTAACAATAGCAACAAAATCTTTTTTTTTTTTTGGCACTGCAGGGAATCAAACCCTGGGCCTCACCCATGCCAGGTAATGTGCTGCCACTGAGCTACATCTCAAACCAATAAAGTCTGGCCTCAAAAGAGAAATAGGAGGGAAATAAATAAATGGCTAATAAACTATTTCCAATAGTTCTGTTCTTAAAGAGTGGACAAATTTTAGCAAAGATACCATGTAGGATATAAATGTTGTTTTGATTTTTCTCAACTACAAACTGTGGACACTACATCATCAGGGTTAATGTAAATTGGTTTCTATACACACCCCTCCCCAGCTCACAGGTGAGCCAGTGCTGATGCTGTCCTTTGTGGAAGACATTCATGACAAGTGTGTGAGTTTGTGATCTCAGCAATCAGGAGGCACTACAATAATGATGAGCAGCCCTAATTTATAATCTATGCATTTACACCAACAGCTGCAGCTCTCCTTTACCCCACCCTGCAGCCCAACCACACCTGAGACTACATTTCCTTAAAATACTCCTGCTTAAATTCAATCCCAAAGGCTTTCTTGGCATTCCAGGATGTTATCAGGGGAATTCCGATATCCTTGCAGGAAGGGTTATGTTTCTGGTTGTTTTCCATACAAATAAGGATCCAAGCAGAAACTCATCTCCTGAGTACTTAGTAGTGTTTCTTTCTTTTATTTATTTTTTTTATTTTTGCAGTGGTGGGAAAGAACCCAGGGCCACACACATGCTAGGCAAGCACTCTACAGCTGAACAGACATTCCTAGCCTGTTGTTACTTTATGAATTAAAAATAAACTTTAGGTCATTTGTTTGTGGTGCATGCCTGTAACCCCAGCTACTTGAGAGACTGAGGCAGGGCCATGGCAAGTTCAAGACCAAATTCACCAATTTATCAAGACCCTATCTCCAGCCTGGCACCATGGCACATGCCTATAATCCCAGCGGCTTGGGAGGCTGAGGCAAGAGGATCACAAATTCAAAACCAGCCCCAGCATTTAGCAAGGCCCTGTCTCCCAGTAAAAATAAAAAGACATGGGGATGTGGCTCAGTGGTTAAGCACCCCTAGGTTCAAATCCCCCATACCAAAACAAAAACCAAACAAACAAAAAAAAAAAAGTAAAAAAAGAAGGAAGCTCATATATGCATGCAAGCTCCATTCTTGAGTGGGTGCGTTTTTGCTGCGGCGGTACCCGCCAACATCAAACATCAAAGGCAGCGAACATCTTCAGCCTTTGAACTCAAACTCACACCAGCAACCATCCGAGGAGCTTAAAGGGCTCAGACTCAGACTAGGCTGCATTACTGTTGCCTCTTGTTCTGAGGTACCCAGCTTCTAGAACCGAACAGCTACTGGTTTCCCTGCTTCTCCAGCCTGCAGATGACCATTGCGGGACTATCCAGTTTCTGATCATGAAAGTCAATCTAATAAATCCCCTCTTATAAGGATTTATCCATTCTATTGGTTCTGTTCCTCTAGAGCAGAGCCTACCTTCATAGAATTTAGAATAAACATGGCAACCAATTCAATTAATGTATCATGAAAGACTTCAGGAACCATCCCTTCTTGGCTTTTCAGCTAAGATCATGCGTAAGACTGCAATTTTGCTCCTTTTTATGACAATATTGGGGCAGGGGTGAGAGAGGCATAGATGGCATCTACAGTTAGCAAAGATAACTGATTGAAGATTGCTATGGTTTTGATAGGGTTTGTCTCCAAAGATTCATGAGTTGGAAGCTTGGTAGTGTTGAGGTGCTGGAACCTTTAAGAGGTGGAGCTTACTGAGAGGCCCTTAGGTCACTGGGTATGCTCTCAGAAGGGATTAAGGTAGTTTTCATTGGCACTCAGTTCTCACCAGACCAAGATGAGCATGACCCCTAAATTGCTCTCTGGCTTCAATTTGGCCAGGTGATCTTTCCCTCTTTCAAGTGCTCCTGCATTATAATGTCATCCACCAAGGTATCCTCACCAGAGCTGATGCCAGTGACATGCCCTTGAACCTCCAGAACTCTGAGCTAAATAAACCTCTTTTTCTTTATAAATTCAGCCAGCTTTGCCTATTTCATTATAGTAACAGAAAACAGACAAACACAAAAATCAAATTTTATTCAGCAACAATAACAATACAGGTGATGAGCTAATGAAGAAATTTCAAACTACAATACAACCTAGCAAGTAATAGTAGTACTAATTAATAATGAAGATAATCCCAAAGCAGCTTTAAAACAGAGAGAAAAAAATAAAACTTAAATACATTTATTAGAACACACCACACACACACACACACACACACACACACACAATTTGAAAAGTACACCCGAGATGAGCAAAGTGCTACACTTTTGGCTTCAATCTAAAAGCATGCAAACCATATTTAGCCTTGGGCTACTTGGCAGTAATGCACCACCTCCTTTAAGGAAGGGTTATATCTAGAAATACAACCAGATAAATACTAAAGTTTCTCTGCAATGCTTCTAGGATACTCTTGCCCTTTATCTTTCTCTCTCACCCTCAAAAAAAAAAAAAAAAAATTAAAGGATATAACTGCATTCTCAGCAGAACAAATATCCACTGGAAACATATATTTAAGAATAAAATAAAGGGCAAATTAGCCACAGTTTCTTTAAGTTGCATAGACTAGAATGAGTCATCAACTCGATCTCTTTATGTATTATCTGCACAATTGCCTCAGAAAGTTGGCAGTTATAGAAAAGCACCTACTTGAAAGAATATTGATGACAAGAACTACATGTGAACCTGATATATAGCTGGTTTATCAACTCGGCAAAACTAGGTCAGCATGACCTAGGCCAACAGGACACCACAAGAAGTGGTTTCATTTCCTCTTCCACATTCAATGACACTAAATCACACTAATCCCTTCCAGATTCCCAAGGAAAAACCATCCACAGGCAACCTGTGTTCCCAAGCTAAACAACTTTAAATTAAACCTGCACATGTGCTGGGGCTGTAGCTCAGGGGTAGAGTGTGTGCTCAAGGTCCTGTGTTCAATCTCCTGCACTCAAATACAAAGACAAAAACCAAGCAACCAAAAACCTGCACATCAAGAAGATTTGTTCCACAGCTTCAAACTTGGAAACCGCCATCACAGTTCCCCCAAGCCATCCAGATGCTCGTAGACATGACTATGCACAGAAGAACAAGGGGAATAGCATCTGAGATGTGAAAAAATAAAATAAAATCTTTAAAACAAGAAACCAATATTCTCTTTGACAGAAAGAGCAGAGAACAGATTGATAAACACATAAGAATTCTCTTCATTGGCTAGTTCAGCTAGGAACTAATTGCCAACTAAGAAACATAGTTACTCAGCAATCTTTCTGAGTAGGCAGGGCAGAATTATGCCAATTTTTTTTTTTTTTTTTTGGTGGGAGGGTGGTGGGGTGTACTGAGGATTGAACTCAACCACTGAGCCACATCCCCAGCCCCATTTTGTATTTTATTTAGAGACAGGGTCTCACGGAGTTGCTTAGTACTTTGCTTTTGCTGAGGCTGGCTTTGAACTAATGAGCCTCCTGCCTCAGCCTCCCAAGCAATGGGATCATAGGCATGCACCACTGCACCTGGCTATGCCAATCCTTTGATCAGAAATCAAGGCTAGTTTATTTAAATAAGGCATTTTAACAATTATATTCAAATTATATTCATCATTTCACCCAAAGGATTCAAAGGACAGGAAGTAATTCTGTTTGGAAGCCCTTCAAACTCACAAAAATATGACAAGAGCAAAAGTTAAATGAACAAAAAACCTACTAGCGCATCATGCACATATCATATTCTACTAGTAAAAAATAAACTTTAAAGACTATGGTAAGCAATAAAATAAACAACTCGACTGGAATCCTAGCAATGCCACATTTATATAATCAATCTAAAATATATTGCAGTCATATACAAAAATGAACAATCTCCTACCTAAACTATATTCCAAATTCCTATTTCCCAATAAAAACAAAAATGTATGGGTCACAACTTACTATAACCACATGAATTTTTGAAAACATGTGTGCGTTTATACACACATGCATGCGTGCACGCACACACCAATACCCTATGTATTCTAGTTCTTGTCAATAAGTAATTCCTGAAAATATTTTCTTTTTTCATCATCTCCATATTGATTTGTGTGACCAAACTTTTCCCGTCTTCCTCTTCGATCTGATATGTTAACACTCTAGCACACATTAGTGACTAGAGAACAAAGTTGGTCTCTAAGTTAAAAATTCTGTCTCAATTTAAAAAAAAAAAAAAATCTAAATGACAAGAGAATCACAGCAGAGTTAAATAAATCGAGAGACCATAAGGGTGTGCATAGATTATACATGAGAGCACCAGTGAAAAACCACACCCTAAGAACAGGAAACCTCAGGTGAAAAGCATCAGGAAAAGGAAAAAGTATAATTGGTTTTGGGTAAACTTCTTTTCCTTTTGCAGTGCTAGGCTCAAATCTGGGACCTCCAGCATACTATGGAAGTGCTTTACCACTGAGCCACTTCCTCAGTCCGGTTATAGTAAATTTAAAAAAAATGGTTTTAAATAAAAGGGGAGCCAGACACTGTAGCAGGAACCCGTAATGCCAACTACCAGGGAGGCTGAGGCAAGAGTATCATAAGTTCAAGGCCAGTCTGGGCAATTTACCAAAACTCTGTCTTAAAAAAATAAAATGGGCTGGGGATATAGCTCAGGGGTATAGTACCCTGGGTTTGATCCTTAGTACCCAAAAAAAAATTAATTAATTAATTAATTAATCTAAAGTAAATTAAAAATAAAAGGAGAGAAGTAAAGAAAAGTCACATAGATAGCTACAAGTTTGGTCTCCCAATTTTATTTTTTATCTTCCTCCCACTTTATAACCTGTCATTGACTTAACACCTCAGAGCTGTCCACACTTACTTCTGAGAAAGAATAGTGGCAAATCCTGTCATTGGCAGGCTTTGGCTTGGGGATTTGAGTTAAACTGTTTTTGAATGTTGAAATCAGGTCACAAGGGCAGTTTATTATTGTCATTTCAAGCACAAGTCAAAATTATTCAGGAGTACTAAAGATCAGTGTTACCAATACCTGCTTAGATTTTATGCCCCTGGAAAAAAAATTAAGAAACTATTTCTGAGTGACATTGGTCAAATTATATTGTTATAATGTATATGTGTACAATTGATAATGTACGCATGTACAAATTTATAACATCAAATCCCATCAGTATGTACAACTATAATGCACCAATAAAAAATGTAGGGAAAAAAAAAAAAAAAAAGTATCCCTGGCCATTATAAAGTGGCACTCAGGTATCTTTTTACAATGGAAACTAGGTCATTTTTAATGGTCCTGAATGAAGTATTTCTTTATTAACCTTTTTTTATAAAACAATCAGTGCACCCCCAATAAACTATAATAGTATGGAAACCTCCAGAATGTGTTTCAGCAGATTGGGATCTTAACGCCTTATCAGTACACTGCTGGAAGGAAATAAAAGGTCCTAGTGTACCTGAAGAAAATAACAAATAAAAACTCCAATGATTCCCCTTAAGTTTAATGAGAATATGAATTTAGATGTGTGAATAGTGAAAAGAATATAGGAGCAGTGAAAAGTATTCATTATTCTCATTTGGTAGACCTTTTTAAACACTTTATGTGGACACAAGTCACAGACCACATTCCAAATCTCTAACTTTATTCTTCATTTAAGAAGAATTTTCCTATACATTCTGTAAGATGCTGGCAGCAGAGGTGCCTGTGTGGTCAGTAGAAAGTGACTAAAGCTGCAAGAAAAAAATCATTAGCAAAAACTCACTAATTAAGATATTTCATGCTGCAAAGATGCATCTGTTTCCACTTTCTATACACTTCAACAGACACAGTTCCTTTCTTGCTGTTTTCAAGATCATTATGTCACTTGAGTAGTTCATTCTGCAACCACTCCACAGCCTTATTCTTTCCTCCTCTCTGTGTTTAGAAGGACCAACCAGGCCTTACTGCAAATTTCCAGTCTGAAGTCCAGAAAGGCCAGTGGAGCCTCAGACTTCAATTCCCCTATTTCCAATTCGAGACTCGACTCTGTCACCTCCTGTAAATAATCTACCGAAAGCAGTTATGAAAAAAAAGGCATCATCAGCCACAAGGCCTTAGAGAGGCAATGCTCTCTTGGCAAAGCAATCCAGACCAATCAGGGTTCTGCATCCTTCTCCGTACCGATGTGAATAGGTCATCCTTGGACCGTTCGGGATCTTGGCTCGTGGTCTCAGATAAGGAGCCAAAGTGACACGGGGCGTGCAGCCCTGCAGACAGTTGGGTTCCCCCCAACACCTTTCGCTGCCGGGTCTCGACTGATAGATCCCAGTATCACCACGTCTGACTCTAATGGATGGCTACACGGCACTGACCCTTGCAGCATCCTTGCTTCAGAGGATTCGCCCTACGGGCCTACTGTTGGGGAAACCAGGGCGGCCACCCTCCGCCTTCCTTCCTCAGTCCCTCCCTCCGACCTCGACCCACCCCTGCACGGGCGACTTCAGCCTGCAGTCAAGTTCAAGACCCAGCAAGGTCTGGTAGGAAACCCCAGCTGTTGGGGCGCAGCCAGGGTGGACCCCGCCCAGACAAGCTGCTCCAGACCTCGAAAGGGAAGAAAGACGCAGAGATCCCAGAGAGATGGGCCGTGGGGCTCGGGCTCGGAATTGAGGCTGGGGGAAATAAACCTATATTTTTCCTCCACCTTCTCGGGGAGTCATCCTCCCTTTACTCTCCATTCCGGGGACCGCCAATAAATAACACCAACAGAAGTAAATGAATTGCACTTTCTTGACTCTTACCTCGTAATGGCTAGTTCCCGGAAATTTCTTAATTAGCTACCGAGGGGCAAAAGAGGGGCTTTCTTGATCGGTAAACAAGATCGACTTCTCCGTTGTACTCTATCTCTGGAGCAAGCAATCAAAGGAGCCACTGCCTCATCTCCTGGTCAGTCTCGAAATTTTTTTTGCCCGCAGTTGGCCAGATGGAGAAGGGAAGTCTGTTCCCTCTGACTGACGGCAGCTCTGGCCAATCAACGCTTGGCGAGGAGGTGAGCCCATCTATAACCTCAGCTACTCACAGATCCCGAAAGGAACGAGCCTCCCGCAACTGCAATTTGACTTCGCAGACTTGCTGCAGCGCACTGCAGAGCGACGTAGACTTGGACCAATAGCAGCTCGCGGAGGCGCCCCACCCTCCCGAGGTCGGTGCTGCGCGCTCCCAGCGGAGACAGTGGGTGGGGCAGGGAGATTTGGTACCCTGCCAGCGTTGAAGGAGGGAGGTGTGTGGGACAAGGGGGCGGTGGTTGTGACCACTAGGAAACCGATAAGGGCACTTTGCCTGGGCATTGAGCTTGAAAGGCATCTGGTTTCCTTCCTCGTTCTTTTGCAAATCCCCGGTGCAGCGTTGTTCATGGCTGAACAAACAGGCATTTTATGATCTCTTGGGATTGTTGATTCATTCATTCGACAAGCATTTCTGTGTTTAAGAAGGACCTCCTGAACGCCGGGCAGTAGTAGGCACTGGAAATACAAACCTGACTCTGAAAGACATGATCGCTGCACTTAGAGAAATTACAGTCTAAGGGAAGAAGAGGGAGAAAACTAACAAGTAAACTAGCATGTAAAAGATCAATCCTAGGGTTGGGTGGGGCTCAGTGGCAAAGCACTTGCCTCCCACAGGGTTCGATCCTCAGCACCACATAAAATAAATAAATATATATGGTCTGTTTTTGTCTATTTCTTTATTATTCTCTCTCTCTCTCTCTCTCTCTCTCTCTCTCTCTCTCTCTCTCTATATATATATATATATATATATATATATATATATATATATATATGTCATTTTTTTCCCACTGGACCATCTTATCATTTTCCCATTTTTCCTTTTCTTTCTAGTAATCGATCTCTGCTTCCTCCCTCATTTCCTTTCTTGCTTTTTTCCTCCCTTCCTTCTTTTTTTCTTTCCATTATTGCCAAAGAGATGCTTATTATTTCAAATCAGAAAACCTCTTTTTAATTTCCTGAATAATTCAGATTCTTTCCTCATAGCAGCTTTGACAACTCATAGTCACAATACTTGTGTTTAAATAAACAAACAAAATAAAGTGTCCATTTATAACTAAAAAAAAAAAATTAAAGATAAATCCTATCCAAGGAGGAAACAGAAGAGATATGAAGAATAAAGAGGGGTAGACTTCAGAAAGGGTGGTTACAAGAGCAGTTTATAGAATGGTATCTAAGTTAAGTCTCAGACTTTCAATTGGTCGTTGAAACTAGTGAAGGGATGACTGTTCTGGACAGAGGGGACAGAAGAGCAAAGGTCCTGAGGAACAACTTGGCATTTTGGAAGAACAGGGAGAAGACCAGTGTGGCTCTAGTATACAATACCTTGAGGGAGGGAGAGAACTACCATAAGAAATAAATAGGTGAAGGAGAAAGAGGCCTTACATTTTATATTTAATGAACCTCTACTTGGGCATTTGAAACAGAGGAGTTCAAGGATGTGGTTTAGGCTTTAAATCACCTTGGTTAATGTACAGAGAATAGGTAGAATGAGCCATTGGGAGACGGACAAAGATTATGGTAGATGAGATAAACTCCTGTGATAGCACTGAAGGTGAGAAAAGCAGAGCAAGTAGAGAGGTTAAAGGCAAATGATTAACTCATTTTGACATTTTTAGTTATCCAGGTCCAGGGACAACTATTCAGAATCCAGTGCATTTAATAACCTCTTTAGAGACTGATGCTTGTATTGATGACTCTTAAATTATAGTAACAACTTTGAGGATTGTGTTGGGTTGAGAGTCATTTTTCATGAACTTTCTGGAATTTTCTTTCTTTTTCAACTTCTGATTGCAATATGATATGCATATAGACAAGTGCATATATCCTAAGAACATTACTGCTCAAGTAATGTTCACAACCAGAACATATCTTTGTATCCAGAATCCAGGTCAAGAAATAGAACATTAGTAATCCTAGGAACCCCATCATACTGCCTTCGAGTCACAGCTTCCTCCCAAGGGCAGCCTTCTATGCTGACTTTGAACAACATAGTTCTAACTATCCTTAGGCTTGATAAATATAAAATAATTGCATAAATATGCATTATTTTATGTTTGGCTTCTTTGATCCAACATTATGCTTGTGGGTTTTCCATATTATTGCACATAGTTATGGATAATTCATTTTATTCCATTCTGTAATTATACCTAACTTATGAATTTATTCTTCTGATGAATGTTGGGGTAGTTTCCACTTTGAAGCTATTATAAGCAGTGCTACTATGAACTTTCTAGTACATGTCCTTGGTGATGACCTTGTCTTTTGATGGAACATTTTGGTAACTAAATTACAATTAAGTTATTGGCGGGGGGGTGCTGAGGTATAGTGCTTGCCTTGCATGCACAAGGCCCTGGGTTTGATCCCCAGCACACACACACACATGAAAAAAAGTTATTTTTTTAATCTGCTCATCATTGATGAGTATCATGTATTGCAATATTTCAGACATTTGGATCTTGGTGCAGATAATGAAAGACTTTGCTTTCACGAAGGTAAAATTGGGGGCAATAAGGAACTGTTGATGTGGGAAATTTTACTCTTGGAAGTATAAAATATTCTGAACTGTCCATGAAGGGTTTTTTTCTTATTTTTTATTTGTTATTTTTAGTTATGCATTACAGTAGAATGTATTTTGACATATTATACATATGTGGAGTATAACTTCCCATTCTTATGGTTGTACATGATGTGGAGTTACACTGGTCATGTATTCATATAAGAACATAGGAAAGTTTTGTCTGATTCATTCTACTGTCTTTTCTATTCCCATCCCCCTCCCTTTCCTTCATTCCCCTTTGTCTAATCTAAAGTACTTCTATTCTTCCCTAACCCCCTCCCCCTTTATTGTGTGTTATCATCCACATATCAGAGAGAATTGGCCTTTGGTTTGGGGGGATTGGCTTATTTCACTTAATACGATAGTCTCCAGTTCCATCCATTTACCTGCAAATGCCATAATTTCATTCTTCATTATGGCTGAGTAATATTCCAGTATGTATATATACCATATTTTCTTTATCCATTCATGTGTTGAAGGGCTGTTGAAGATTAGTTCCATACTTAGCTATTGTGAATTGAGCTGCTATAAGAATTGATGTGGCTGTGTCACTGTAGTATGCTGATTTTAAGTCCTTTAGGTGTATACCAAGGAGTGGGATAACTGGATCAAATAGTGTTCCGTTCCAAGTTTTCTGAGGAATCTCCATACTGCTTTCCAGAGTGTTTGCACCAATTTGCAGTCCCACCAGCAATGTATGAGTGTACCTTTTCCCCCCACATCTTTGCCAATGTTTATCATTATTTGTATTCTTGAAAATTGCAGGGGGGTGGGGAGCATGGGGGCAGGAAAGATGGTGGAATGAGATGGACATAATTACCCTAAATACATGTATGATTGTACGAATGGTGTGACTCTACTTCATATACAACCAGAGAAGTAAAAAAATTCTGCTCCTTTTGTGTACAACAAATTGAAGAACTTTCTGCTGTCATGTATAACTGATTAGAACTAATAAAATAAGTAAAATAAATTATAAAAAATAAAAATATTTTTTTTAAAAAAGAAAATTGCCGTCTGACTGGAATAAGATGAAATCTCAGTGTGGTTTTAATTTGCATTTCTCTAATTGCTAGAAATGTTGAATGTGTTTCCACGTATTTGTTGACTGATTATACTTCTGTGAAGTGTCTGTTCAGTTCTTTAGCCCATTTATTTATTGGGTTATTTGTTTTGTTTTTGGTGTTAAGGTTTTTTTTTTGAGTTATTTGTATATACTGAATATTAATGTTCTATCTGTTGTGCAGGTAGCAAAGATTTTTCTCCCATTCTGTAGGCTCTCTTCACGTTCTTGATTGTTTCCTTTGCTGTAAAGAAGCTTTTTAATTTGATACCATCCCATTTATTAATTCTTTATTTTACTTCTTGTGCTTTAAGAGTCATGTTGAGGAAATTCAATTCCTAAGCCAACATGTTAGAGATTTGGGTCGGGGCCTACTTTTTCTTCTAATAGGTGCAGGGTCTCTGGTCTAATGTCTAGGTCCTTGATCCACTTTGAGTTGAGTTTTGTGCAGGGTGAGAGATAGTCCCTGGAGTTTTGACCTTCTTTTTAAGTTCTTGCAAACTGCATAACCAGCATCTGAGAACATTGTGGCTTTTCTACATCATTTTACTATAATGGACCGTAATCCACAGTCATACAATAAACAAAGTCAGTGGGACTGTCTTTAAAATATCTTTGATACTGGTATAGTCCTCAGAATTACATTGGAAAACATACCATTCCATATCCTACCACAGTTGATTAAAACCAGGGGGATGTGCTCAGTGGTAGAGCACTTGCTTAGGACTTGGGATGTAAACCCCTGGGTTTCATCCCCAGCACCAGGGAGGTGGGGGTGAGGAAAAATAAAGCCAGCAGTTTACTTCTTTTACATACTTTGTGATTTTTTTTTTTTTTTTTTTGGTAGTGGGGATTGAACCCAGAGGCACTTAACTACTGAGCTACCCTCCCCCCAGCCTTTTTTATTTTTTATTTTGAGACAGGGTCTCAAAATTCTAAATTCTCCCTAAATTGCTGAGGCTGGCCTCAGACTTACAATCTTGCAATCCTCCTACCACAACCTGCTGAGTTGGGATTCCTGGCAAACACCACCCCACCCTAGACTTCTAGTTTTTCAATCTCTAAATCATAGTTAAATATATTACAAAGAGAATTCACCAGAGGTTGACTTGACAGGACAAATCACTGCACAACATCTAAAAGAATCAAGTGGGAGCTCACTTTGGCAGGACATATACTAAAATCAGAACAATACAGAGAAGATTAACATGGCCCCTGAGCAAAGATGACATGCATATTTGTGAAGCATTTCATGTTTTCTATCATTTAATAAAAAATATATGCATAAAAAATGTTAAGTAGATATAGCACTCTACTCCTTCGTTAAGCTGAGCTCCTGTTGCCCTGGCCTAGGACAATAGCATGTATTTTTCTGTGATTTAGGCTGCTCTATCCTGAATTGCTAGCCCAGATGTCTCTTCTGTCTCACCAGAATGATTGCCAAAACATTGACACAGAATGTTTAAAACATGTTCTTGGACCCAATTAAACTTGAAATGATTTTATTTTTAAATGAACATTGCATTCCCTACATGTAATTTACCTCTACAAATATGAAACAAGTAAGTTTCATCCAGTATCAATGGCACCGAGATCGGATTATCTTTCCATTTCCACCTTTGATAATCTCATTTGACCTTATTCAAATATTTAATTCCACCAAGCACCAGTTTCTCATCACAATTACCTATTGTGAAGGTAATTATGTTTTGTAAATTAATTTTTCAAAAAAGATGATAAACAAAAATTCCTTTTTGTTATCTAAATTACAAAAGCTCAAAATTAGGGAAATAAAATATGATATATAAAAAATAAAATAAAATATGATATATAAAAAATCATTCTTAGCACTGTTAGCCAAATATTTCTTGCTCTTTACCGCTGAGGAAGTTCCCAGACCCCTTATATGTGGTGCCAGGGGAGAACAGGGGGCATGTGGCTAGTTCTGGTCAAACAATTTTGAATGGAGGTAAAAGGTCATTGCTAACTAATAGAATTTAATGTCCCTGTTCAAGACCTTCAGAAGCTTCCTTTCTTCTGTCATTGTAACTAACAATGTTTCAAATGGTGGCTGCCTCTTCAATCTGGGTCCCTAGGTATCAATGAAGAAGAGAATCTCACAGCCAGCTCATGATGGCCATGTAGTGTGAGCAAGAAAAAAACTTTGTTGTTTCAAGACTCCAATATTTTTATGTTATTTGTTTCTGCATCTTTACCTTTAACTTTACCTAACACGTCTCAACTGATACAGACATTAGCTCCAACTTAAAATCATCTGCTTAAATTTTTCTTGGGACAATTACAATCTAAGAAGAAAAACAAATTGTTTTTCCATGCTGAGGGTAGAATCCGGGACCTTGCACATGCTACTAAAAGGAATTTTCACACATTTACTCAATAAATATTTGTGAAGTTCCTACTACATTAGGCAGTATATTAGGCCCTGGATTTACAGCAATGAATGAACAATGTAAAGATTGTCTACTCTCCTGAAAATTGAAAGGGGCAAAGAGAAATAATTAGCTTGTATCTAAGTATGGTGAATGCTACAATTGGAAAAGTATGGTGTTATTATTCACTAGTTGAATATTATACAAGACTGCCAAGACAGAACAGGGAAGGAAGGAACAAGTCTCCAGCTCTTGAGAAGTATTTTGGAAACACAGAAAGTGTTCCTTATATTTGAGCCCCCGAAGGGCTCCAGCATTACTCTTGACCAATGTAGGGCTACAGGAAAGTAATTAATTTCCCTGAGTTTTTGTTTTATCATCTATAGAGCAGCACATTAAATATAACCTGTTCTGGCTGACTTACAAATTGCTCCAAGAACTCAATTAGGCAGAGAATATAAGTGTCCCCCCAAAATAAAGAGTGAACTCTTTGAAGATTTTATAGTGCAACAAAGGAGCCTATAAACATACAGTTTAAAAAATATTGGAAACCCTATAAAACAACATACAAAGAAAATGGACATTAATATTGTATCCTTTATGATAGTAGGAGCAAATGTGACTCCATTTTGTTTTATGACTTCATCCTGTAAAACAACCATGCCAAGTAGAAGGGTCATGACTGGGGCAAGATGTTCTTTTCCTTTTGCTATAGAAACCTTTAAGAACATGGAACTACCTAATGGGGCATTGTTTCTGTAACTAGGGTAAAGGGGCTCTGTTTCTGTAACTGGTGTGACTGGGCTAACTGTGATTGGTTAGGCTTCCCTCCGTTTGACTGCACTCTCCAGCTTCCGTAACCTGGCTTGCTTGCATTGGCTGGACCCCCAAACATCCCTTTTGCTGTTTTCAGGCTTATAAAGAGCGCCCTTGCAATTGTTTGGGATGATCAGGGGAACAGCTTTATGTTCTGGTCAGCCGCCACTGGTGTGCTTCAATAAAGGTTTGATTCGATTATACGTGAGTGGTCTGGAAGTCAGTTTATGAAACCCTGGGATGAAGCTTTAACTATAACACTTCTAGCTGTGGGAAATGGCACTGAGTTACGCAAGGAAAATTCTACCTTTAAGTATCTAAAACACATTATTGATTCCCAAATAATGTCGCTAAAGCTGTTAGGATTTGGCCAAAAGAAGCCAAAAATACCCTTGTAATCCTCATAAAGAATATTCAGTACTTTTTTGTCAGGGGAATGAAGTGAATATGTAACAAGTTCATAACAACAAAGAAATGCACACAGTAGTAAGAAAAACTCATTGTCTTCGAAATCTGTAATATTAGAAGCATGAACACTTATATCCTGTTGGAAATTATATGTAGTTTTCTAAATTCATTGTCTATTCTGAGTCCCATTCAGATTAGAGTTTGGAATCTCAAGGTAACATTGTAAGAGACGATGAAAGGCACATTTGTTGCTAGATGTCAGGCAAACACAGGCATGAGTTATTGGCATGCACAAGCATACCTCTATTTTGTACATAAAGTGGGTGTAGGTGCTGAACTGCTTTTCTATTGGTCACTTTCTCTCCCAATAGCAGAAAAGAAAGTATTATTTTTCCACCTAATTAGCATACTCTGGGAAAGTAACCAACTGTGTTTCTTTCCCTAGCAGTGTTAAATATAGACTTTAAAGCCAGTTCCTTTTATACTTGATTTTGGCATTGGTAATCTAGATTTTTATTTACAAAAACACTGCAGAAAAAAAAAGCTTCAGAAGTTCAAATAAGCAAATAACACCTAATAGTTATGCCATGAGAAATATGAAAGACAGATCTGTTTTCTTGAATAAGCTTTAATAAAAAGTAAGTAATCTATGGTCATCCTACCAAGGTGAAACCAGGAAATACTTTACCCAGGAAACAAAGAACAGCAAAACTCCATTTTCTAAACCATCCCACCTGAGACCCATAGGATGAGACAAGAAGCCGGGACCTAGGAGGAAAGCAGGGTCATAGCAAAGAAGTAAGGAAGGAGACCAAGAGAGGGGCACCATCCTGCACCCATGAGGGAGCTCAGTATGACCTGAAATGTAACCAGTGTAACCTGCAAAGAAACACACTGCTCTTTTGGTAATGAGCTGTAAAGAACTGCATAATGCAAGAACATGTCATATTTTTCTACCTGTTCTCTCTTGTCCTGGTTTCTCTCTCTTGTAAATACAATGAATCCTATACCCATTGATACAACATTATTTCACAAAGCATTACAGGCTCTCTACTTCCAGTTGGGGAAAAAATGCCTTTTATCTTTCTTTTTTTTTTTTTTTTTTTTTTTTTTGGTATCAGGTATTGAACTCAGGAGTGCTTGAACCACATCCCCAGTCATTTTTCTTTCTTTCTTTTCTTATTTTGAGATGGGGGTCTCAATAAGTTTCTGAGGCTAACCTCAAACTTCTGAGCCTCCTCCCTCAGTCTCCTGAGTTGCTGGGATTCCAGGTATGTACCACCATGCCCAGCTTGCTGGTACTCTTAACTAAGAACCAGGATATAGTATCACTCTATGCTGCAAACAAATAGTTGGGGTTCTCCAGAAAACAGAAAACACACACACAGTTATTTTAAAGAATTAGTGGGGCTGGCAAGTCCAAACTCTATAGGGGAAGGCCAAGAGCAGCAGATCAGGAACCCAGGGAAGAGTTGATACTGCAGACAATATCAACAATATAAGGCAAAATTCCTTATTCCTGGGATGGAGATGTGACTTGGTGGTAGAGTGCTATGCCTAGCGTGCATGAGGTTCTGGGTTTAATCCAAAGTACTGCAAAAAGTAAAGAGTTTTGGGTTGGGCGTGGTGGCGCACACCTGTGATCCCAAAAGCTTGGGAGGCTGAGGCAGGAGGATCACAAATTCAAGGGCAGCCTCAGCAACTTAGTGAGACCCTGTTTCAAAATTAAAAATAAAAACAGGCTGGGTATGTAGCTCAGTAGTAAAGCGTCCCTGGGTTAGATCCCCAGTATAAAAAAAAAAAAAAAGATAAAGGATTTTGGAACATCTGGAGTTTCCTATTACATTCCAAAAAAGTATAGAAAATTTGTTCTTTAAAATTCTTTTTTTCCTCAGGGCACTTCTGTCTTTTTGTCTTAAGGCCTTCAACTGATTGGATTCACAGTTAGATTGGTGTGCTTTTATTTGTTTGACTTTATTTGCAATCCTAGAACTGGACAACACTTCATTTTATAAAATAGAATAAGTATTCCCTAGACTGAAGTTTTACCAACTATCAGGTTATCTGGCCTAGCCAAAACCCTTTCAAGTGCTCACTCTGTCCCACACCGAAATAATTGTTCTACATGTACCAACTTGTCTAATCCTAATAACCCTATGGGACATATTATTACTGACATCCCCATTTTACTAAATGAAGCCCAGGAGGCTTAAGTAACTACAAATGCAGAAGCTGGGACTCCAGTGTTTGCAGCCAGACTCCAGAGTTTATGTTCTCAGTCACTGCACTACTTCCCTGTCACCAGCCAGTAATTACTGTTAGATATCAATTTTTTACAGAGACCTTAGACATATCTACGCAACAGCACTTTGATGTAGGGGAAATTCTGTGTTTACAAATAAGGAGATTTTTGAAGCACAGAGAAGTTACCTCAGGCCACAGAGTGGACAGCAGAGATTTGAACCCCTTTCCACTCAGTGTCCAAAGCATATCTTCTTGCCACACTGCCTCTCTGTACATAGTTCACCTATGGTAAACATTTTAGAAATGCTTTTACTATTTTCTGTTCTAAGGACCTTAAATAAGTTGAACAAAAGTTGCTTTTCTCTTTCAATGTGTCTTACACTGTACAAATAAGTACGAGTTTCTGACTTTTCATGAGCCAGGTACTAAACTGCTGTGTGTAGAGAAAGTAAGGGAGAACTCATCATTCTCCCTGAGGCAGTTAAGTAGGAGAAAATGAGCAGTGAGGTTCAGAGCAGAACAGAAATTGAGCCTGAGGAGGGAATTGATTAAGACTTGCCCTCTGGCAAGAGCTTGTAGTGGGAAGGGAATTGCAAAACAGAAATCACCTGTTTTGCCCTGTTGGCTTGTTAAACTGGAGTTAGGTGAATTTACTTGCATTCTGTTTTAAAAGTGACTAATGTAGTGCTTGCTTCAGCAGCATAAATACTAACTTTGGAACAATACAGAGAAGATGAGCATGGCCCCTGCGCCTGGATCTTACGCAAATTCGTAAAGTGTTCCATATTTTAAAATATGGAACACTTTACGATGTAAAAAGTTTTATTCCAGAGGAGGTTTAGTTTCCTAATGGGGCCCAGGAGAAGGCAGAGCATAATGTAGGCTTACTGTAGATAAGGATCATAATGTTTGCCACCCAGGACCTTTCACCTCCTTATAAACTCTGACAAAATGTATGGCTTATGAGAGGTAAGACACAAAAGTTTCTTTCTTCCTTCCTTTTTTTGTTTTTGTTTTGTGTTTGTTTGTTTGTTTGTTTTCCTTTTCTTTCTTTATTGTTGGGTACTGGGGATTGAACCCAGGAGTGCTTAGAGTGCTTTACCACTGAGCTACGTCCCCAGTCCTTTTTATTTTATTTTGTGTCAGGGTCTTGCTAAATTGCCCATGCTGGCCTTGAACTTGTGATCCTCCTGCCTCAGCCTCCAGGCCGGTACCCAGCTCATACCTTGCTTCTTCTGAGAAACTGTATTATACAGTAGTTGAGAATGTGACCCAGAAGACACCCAACTCATTTAAATCCCAGCTCTAGCTGGGTACAGTGGTGCACCCCTGTAATCCCAACAGGGGGAGACTAAGGCAGGAGGACTGCAAATTCCAGGCCAGATTCAGCTACTTAGCAAGACCTGATCTCAAATAAATAATTAAAAGTGTTGGAGATAGCTCAGTGGTCGAGGGTCCCTGGGTTCAATCTCTAGTACCACAAAACTAAAATAATAATAATAATAATAATAATAATAATAATAATAATAATAATAATAATAAATTCCAGCTCTAACACTTATAAACTTGTTGGCCTTGGACCAGTTTCTCAACCTTCCTATGCCCAGTTTCCGTAGGTATAATGGAGGTGGTAGTAATTTTTGAATCATACTTTTGGGGAGGATTAATAATCTAACCTATATAAAATACCTAGAATCATCCTTGGCTCCAGATAACCTGGCCAATGTTAGGAAGTTTTGTTATTCCCTGTCATGGCCTGGAAAACCCTACCTTGCTCTAGGCTAGCTTGTCTCTGACATTGTCTCTTGCTCACAAAATCACTCTCCTCCTCTGTTCGGTTAGGGTCACTCTCCTCATTTGTTCAGTAAATGACTGTTCACTTATTCAAATAATATTTATTAGGAAAAAAATAAAGAAGAAATTTGAAAAACAAAACAAAGTGAACAAATGATATTTATAGCCGGGCACAGCGGCATGCCCCTGCAGTCACAGCTTCTAAAGAGGCTGAAGCAGGAGGATCACTTGAGCCCAGGAGATGGAGGCTAGCCTGGGCAACATAGCAAAACCCCATTGCAAATAAATAAATAGAACTTATCTACTGCATCTGCCTATTTGCCAGAAACCTTTCTAGGAGCTGATGACACAACATGAATGAAACAGACAAAATCTCTGTCTTAGATGAAAGACACAAAAGACAGAACAGATATATATATATATATATAGATAGATAGATAGATAGATAGATAGATAGATAGATATCTTTAATAACAAATGATCTGTAGGAGAACAGCAATGAATAACAAGAAAGAGCTGGGATGTGTGCTATTTTAAATGAGAAAGGCTCTCCAGGTTAGGGGATTTAGGGGGAAGATACCATAATGAAGACAGAAAACAGACCACACATATATTTGGAGGAAAATTATTCCAGTCACAGGAAAGGGCAAGCAAAGGCCCTGGCAGGGCTCACACAAGAAAGTCAGTGTGAATGTGAAATTGAGAGGAAAGGAGGTCATAGGGAGCCAGACACTGGGCCGTATCATAGATCAAGATGAAGAATAGGGTTTTATTCTCAGTGTTGAAAAGATAGAGTTTTTCTTATTTATTTGTTTTACTTATTGATTTTTCATTATTTATTGGCAGTACCAGGGATTGAACCCAAGAGTACCCTACTACTGAGGTACATCCCAGTCCTTCTCATATTTTAGTTTGAGACCATCCCACTGAGTTGCCCACGTTGGCTCTGAACTTTTGAATCTGCTGCCTCAGCCTCCCCTGTAGCTGAGATTACAGGTGTGCACCATCACACCTGGTTTAAGAACTGATTTGTGATGAATAAGTATCACTCAATTTGCACAGGAAGCCAGGGTAGCACAAATGGTCTAGGTGGGTTAAATCCCTTAGGTGGACTTGGAGGAGAATCAAATGTTTGCCTTTGGTGAAGTTAAGTTGGTGAATACAAATAAACCTACAATGAAGAATCTGTGCAGGTACTTGGATATGTTTATCTGTCATTCCAGGGAGTGAAAAACCAGCCTCTACCTCAGAGCAAAGCCTGCCCAAAGAAGGCATGACCCTTGTCCTTGGAAAGACCCACAGAGCACTCCTAGGCACATACCCCCACTGCTGAGTTGTTTATCTACAAATAACAGGATAGATCTGCTGTGACAGGTGTCCCTGACTCAGGCTAGGTGAGGACCCATAGCAACCCCCTAGCAACCACAAATCAGAGAAAATACCTAGGGTGCCAGATGACCCCCCAGTAGTTTATGGTGGTTGATAACAAGTTCAGAAACCATATAGTTCAGCATGTACTCCCCTCGTGGCTTAAACCAATCAGTTCAATGGAATCCCCCTCTTGTACTAACCAATCACCCCTACCCAACTTGTTCCCGCCAGTGAATGTACTAATCATGTTTTAGAGTTGTTTTATGATTTTCCCGCGGTGTGTGATGATTTGCTAAGAGATACTATGATGTATGTGAAGTCCCTGCCTTCCCCAGAGAGTGTATAAAACTGCTGCAAACCCTGGGCTTGGGGCCTCTCAGGGTCACCAGTTGCTGTGTGCATGCGGAGGACCAAGCTAGCTCACAATAAACACTTTTTGCTGCTTACATCGATCTTGGTCTCTGGTGGTCTTTTGGGGGTCCCGAATTTGAGCGTAACAGAAGAAGTTACCTGTGTATAGAAAGTATTTAAGCCATATGGGTAAGCCTCCTTAAGAATTAGTATGGAGGGAGAAGAGAGGAGATCAGAGCTTGGAAACCTTGCATAATTTAGAATTTTTTTTTTTTTTAAAGGAAGGGGATTATCAAAGGAGAATAAAAAGAAGGAACATTGAGGTAGGAGAATGATGGATTAAAAGTGAGATAAAGGCCAAAAAAGAGTTCAAGGAGAGTGTGTGTCCTGTGTCAAATGCAGTTAGAGGTGAGGTTAGATGAAGCCTCTGAATTGATGATTAGACTTCAGCTAGAGGTCACTGAAGAGAGACAAGAGCAGTTTCAGTGCAGTGAGGCCTATGAACTTGACAATGAGAAGTCAAGAAACTAGAAGCCCCTGAGGGGTTTCACTTGAAGGTAGGACATAGGAATTACACAGCAATGGAAAGGGTTTGGAGTATGTTGTTTTTGTTTTTGTTGTTGTTCTTTGGGGGGTATTGTTCATTTGGATTAAAATAAGAGAAATTTATTCTTTCACAGTTTTGGAGATTGAAAGTTCAAAATCAAAGTTCCAGTGGAGCCATGTTCTCTGAAAGTCTCTGCAGCAATTCTTTGTCTTTTCCTAGCTTCTGGTGATCACTGGAAATCTTTGGCATTTTCCTAGGCATGTAGATGTATCACCCCAAACTCTGCCTCCATCTTCATGTGGCTCCTCCCCTGTGTGTCTCCGTGTTTCTGTCTCTACATGGTGATCACCACTGTCAGAAGGATTTTTTTTTAATTTTTTTTTTAAGAGATAGGGTCTCACTAAATTGCATAGGGCCTCACAAAGACACTGGCCTAAAATTTGTGCTCCTCCTGCCTCAGCTTCCTGAGTCACTTCTGCACCACCATACCCAGCTAGAAGGGCATTTATTTATTTATTTTGGTATAGGGAATTAAACCCAGGGACACTATACCACTGACCCACATCTCTGGTCTTTTTTATTTTTTATTTTGAGACAGCATCTCACTAAGTTGCTTAGGGCCTCACTAATTTGCTGAAACTAGTCTCAAACTTGGGATTCTTTTGCCTCAGCCTCCCAACTCACTGGAATTGCAGGCATGTGCCCTCATGCCCCACCAGAAGGATATTTTTTAATGAAAAATATTGTTGAATGTATGCATGACAATGAAAAGGATTTTGAAGGGAATGAAAGGCTGATTTACAAAAGACAGAGGGATGATTGAAGGAGCTAAGAGCCTACATAAGTGGGAGGGGATGGAATTAGGAGAACAATTGGAGGAGCTATGGCGACCAACTGATAGTTCTTCTATTATAATGAGATGTAAGACAGACAATGGACACAGATAAAGGATGGATGGTGGTATAGAGATAAAGATAATTTCTTCAGATTGCTTTTTTATTTGGCAGCTCTTGGGATCAACCCAGGGCCTCACACATGCTAGTGAGTTCTCTACCACTGAGCTATATTCCTCAGCCATGATTGCTTCTATTTTCTCAGAAAAGTAGGACCCAGTGTTATCAGCAGATTCTAGATGGAGACGCAGGTATGGAGGCTGAAGGAGAGAAGAAAAAGGCAAATTGGTCATCTAGGATGAGGAGAAAGTTAGAGGAGTGGGGAGACACCACAGGGTAACTAGATAGCTCCAAGATCCCACTAGAGGTTAGACACACGAATTTGGAGTGGGGCCAGTTAGCATGCACTGATTTTTTTTTTCCTCAAGCCAAATCCACCTGCCTGAATGCAGATGCACTTTAGGTGAAGAGCTAGATTTGACTTGGTCAAGGATTACCACCTGGGTATAATAAAACAGAAGAGGGACAAAGAACTGGGTAACTACAACAAAGGAATCCACGCTAGGCAAATGCAGAACAAAAGGCATAAATTGTGGCATGCAAATTTAAATGTGGCAGGATGAATAGATCTGGAATTGTCCCTTATGCAAACATAGGACTTCCTTTTTTCTCAAAATACTTTAAAATGTAAATGACTGGGAAATACATGTAAAGATAACTTCTCCAAGCATTTAATAATTTTATGCTAGAATTCGGAATCCCCAAAAAACCACCAGAGACCAAGATCTATGTAAGCAGCAAAGAGGTGTTTATTGTGAGCTAGCTTGGTCCACAT